AAGAGCGAAACTCCGTCTAAAAAAAAAAAAAAAAGAAATATTCATATGATTTTGACATTAACTCAAAATACACAGAAATTACTTGTATCTGCCTATACATTTATTAAATGCTGATGAAGAATACTTAACAATCAATATTTATGCATGCCAAATAAAACTTTTCCCAATTTTTAAAATTATTTTTAAAAATAAGCCAATTTATATTGGACATTTGGGTTATGCGTGCATATAAAAGTCGTATTCCTCAGCTAGTCTAACTGACCACAGATAGACTAGCATACAAGTGTCCTTCTTTCTGGATGGAATTAAGTTTCAGAGGCAAAGTGGTTCAGATGGGAGCAAATGAGCTGACCTCCTCATGAAGTAAACTCGACAAAATCAAGAAGTATTAAAGGTGCTAATGACTGATTCCATAAATCTTTCTGTCTTCTCTATCTTTTCAATATACAAGTATGCACTATGGGTGTGTATAAATTAAAACACTTCTAATCTATACTGTGAGCTCCTATGGAGGGGCTACTGTGAATACATAAAAGGCCCTGGGGAAGAGAGAAGTAGTGCAGGGGAGCAGAGGGCATCTGCCCTCCATCAGGCCATCCACACAAACCTACTGAGGAGGTAGACTCGATGATCTAGGTCTCAACGGGCTTAGATGTTGACCTGGACCTTCAAGTGGGGTTTTCCTTCATTGTATTTTATGTTGTTTGTTCAACTATTTTTGTAATTGGGGCAAAGTGAGATGTTCAACTAGTCTAAGAATGCTTTATATACCCCATAAACTGTCTGAGTCAAAGGTTTTTATTTATTCTTCTGCCAATCACAACTGATTTCCACCTAGAATTATTTTGTAAGGTAAGAAACAGTAAGTCAACTGAACAAAGAGCTGGGCCTTTGGGCTCTGGAACATTATTACACACTGACTGGGAAACGCAGGGCCTCAGGATGGGGTCTGGTCAGCCTGGCTGCAGCAGGGCACGAACCTGCCTCAGTGGGCCTTGTCCAAGAACGCTCTGCAGCACCTGACACACTGCTGGTACACCGCCTCAAAGTCAGAGTCATTCCCATAATAAGGATCTTCAATAATAAATTGTTTTTGTGGATCATAGCTCCCAAGTAGTTCAATTTTAGCTTTGCAGGTTTTAACTTGATTACGTTTTCTATTCAAATCTCTCAGATTGCTTTCATCCATACATAGTATATAATCAAATGTGGCAAAATCTTCTTTGGTAATCCGTCTTTCTTTATGGGCTGTGTGAATGCCATGATTTCTTAGGGAGCACACAGCTCTTGGGTCTGGGGACCGGCCCACGTTCCAGTCAGAAACAGCACCACTGTCAATGACCCAGTTCTCTGAGATCTTTTGATCACTTACAAGTTTCCTGAAAACTGCTTCTGCAATGGGTGATCGACAAATGTTACCCAGACACACAAACAGCACGGACTTGGTAACTGGCTCCGCCATCTTCCCGCGCGTAGTGGCGCCGAGAAACCGCTTTGTGACGCACGCTGATGCAGCGCATGCGTACTGCCAACCTCTCGCCCCGCGGGCCTCGGGAACCATCTTTGATCCCTCCCTCTCTCTCCTCTCTCTCTCTCCTCTCGCTCTCCTCTCTCCTCTCTCCTCTCTCTCCTCTCTCTCCTTTCTCTCCTCTCTCTCCTCTCCCCTCTCTCCTGTCTCCTCTTTTTCACATACAGTCCATCAAGTTAAACTTGTTAATTCTTTTCTTAAAAATTTTTTTTTTTCTTCTTGAGGCAGAATCTCGCTCTGTTGCCCAGGCTGGAATGCAGTGGCGCGATCTCAGCTCACTGCAACCTCCACCTCCCAGGTTCAAGCGATTCTTCTGCCTCAGCCTCCTAAGTTGCTGGGACCACAGGCTGGAGCCACCATGCCTGGCTAATTTTTGAATTTTTAGTAGAGACAGGGTTTCACTATGTTGCTCAGGCTGGTCTTGAACTCCTGGCCTCAAGTGATCTGCTCACCTTGTCTTCCCAAAATGCTGGGATTACAGGTGTGAGCTACCATACCCAGCCACAGTCTTGTCATTTTTTTAAAGCAATGTATCCTCAATCCTTAAAATAGGGGTTGATACTCACTAAGTATTTGTTGAATGAATGAATGAATGAATGAATGAGAAAAGAAAATTACCTAGGGTGTATATGTGATCATGGAGATAATAACATACATAAACACATGAAAATGAAAACCATTTCTTTGAATATTAAGTGTACTCTTTTCCCCAGAAATGAAAACTACACAATTTTAGCATACTTTGTTCAGAATTTGAATATAAATTTGTGTATATTATATATGTAGTTAATTTATAAAGCAGTAGAATTATTGTCATTGATAGTTTTTCATGCCTCTTGTATGGTCAGTTAATAAAGTTTACTTTGAGAATTTGACAGCTTAAAAAAATTATATCTATTTAACATTTGAAATGTCAAATATAAATTATTTTTTAAATGCCAAAAATGTTTAGTATTATACTAAACAACGATACTCTTATCTTTTCCTAGGATATTATTGCTGGATTCCTATATACCATTTTAATCTTAGCTGTCTTCTATCCATTTGTGGACCTGATTGACAACTTCAACCAAACTCACAAATATGCTCCATTAATCATCATCGGGCTTCATTTAGCTTTGGGGATCTTTTCTTTCACTCTTGACACCTGGAGCACATCCAGAGGAGACACGGCAGAGATTCTAGGAAGTGGTGCTGGAATTGCATGTGGATCTCATGTTACTTATAAGATGGGTCTAGTGTTAGATCCTTCTCTAGATACATTACCTTTAGCTGGTTCCCCCATTACTATGACTCTCTTTGGGAAAGCCATATTGCGGATCCTCATAGGGATGGTATTTGTGCTGGTAGTCAGAGATATAATGAAAAAGATCACCATTCCTTTAGCCTGCAAAATCTCCAATATACCGTGTGATGATATTCGAAAAGCAAGACAGCACATGGAAGTTGAACTTCCTTATCGGTATATTACCTATGGAATGGTTGGTTTCTCCATCACATTTTTTGTTCCTTACATATTTTTCTTTATTGGTATCTCTTGATGGAGAAATATTGTTTGTGAAAAGAAAGGAGGGTATCAGTTACTGATACCTAAAAATATATTTCAAGTAAAAGCCAGATCAGATTTAGGCTTTTGCAGGAATTTAACTTAAATAATTATTTAAGTAAATTCATAAGAGTCAGTGCATTTTATCATTGCACATCCAGATATTGTTTTAGGTGAGCTGAGCTATTTCAATACTGAGAAAATGATAAGTATCCATTTAGAATGTTAATGTAATGTTTGGAGAGTTTTGTGTTGTTATGGATTCAACTTATATATAATATATATAAGGTACATAATATGCAATTATATATCTGATATATATTATATATAAAATAATATACCTAAGTGTTTTTTTAAACTATGGGAGTGTATTATAAAATCAATAATAATATGCAAACAGTTGTGCCTGTGTATTTGAACTAAATACAGGTATGTTGTTATTAACATACATTTAACATTTATTTACTATGGGAGCCATTTCCTAATTGAATTGCATAATTACTAGACCAGAAAGCGTATGCTACTATACATTGATTTACTGCCTGTTTTTACACTGCCATTACCTTTCATGTTACCCATGATGTTGAACATGGGAGACATTTTTAATGGACCAAATTTTTAGGAAAATTATTTTTTGGATTGTTTAGTTTTTTTAAGTTCTGTATACTGTTTTGAATGTACTTTATTTGCAACTGTTCTGGACATCAGTTTATTAATTCAGGTACTGAATTTTATTTCTTGCTAATTGTGCCTTTCTGTTGCTGAATTAAGAAATGCTATGTATACTGTGATGTAAAAATAAGACATTAATTTTATCTTAAGTTACATATAATCAGGCAAGTATTTTTAAAAATATATGTCAAGGTGACAGGCATAGAAGTAAATTGCCCTTACTCTTTAGCCTTTATTTAGAAAGAAATGTGGAATGGTCTAAACTTTCTCACCAATTTATTAGAAAGCTAAATGGATAAATACTTCCCTTTTTGTAGGTATTTTTCTGTGCATTGTAAGTTATAGGAACAAGATATATTTTTTGTACATTGTCTTGATTGTTTATACTGCAGGTAGATACTTCCAGTGAATAGAAATGTAGTTGAAATTTATAGATGGGACAATGCACATACTTCATATGAAAACAGAGCATTTTTCTAAATAATTTGGAAAGGATTGGATTTAGCACTGTTAACTTTTAATACCCATTTATTAGCTACTTAAGGTAAATTATAAAACCTAAAATTAATGTCAGTATTTTGGATCCTATTTTTTTTTCAACTTTTTATTTTCACAGTGGAAAGTTTGCATATAGTATTAAACTATTATTTTTTCTGTCTGTGCCTTTCTATTTTGAAGTGTGGTTGTACTTACATTAACATTAAATGTATTTGTAGAAAGTTTTTCATAAAGAAGAGGATTAACTTTCCATGTAAATGAATACCAGGTATGAAATTACTGATTTTAGTGCAATATCTATGTAATTATTCAGAACTATCACTTCAGATGTTTCTATTTTGGGCACCATAACTATTTGAGCTCATATTTTTGTAATTCTGATTGAGAATTTAGGGGCATCGTAATTTTTACCAAAACTGAAGCTGATAATTTTAAGTAAAGCAACTAAATTTACCCTTTACTTATTAGTTAAAAGGAAACCAAGGCAGGTAGGAAAAAAACGGTACATTGGAAAATGTGAAAAGAGCTTTACTTTCAAAATGTGTTTTTAATGAATTGAAGTTTAGGGACTGTTTCCCGTAATTTGGGTCTGTGCTATCCTATTAATTTTTATATGTAGCTTAAAAGATATTTGAAAATGTTCCATTTCTTTGTGTTTTATTATTTTCTGTCCCATGACAGTTCTATGCTAAATGCATTTTAAAATAAAAGCTAAATTGAAGATTTAAGAAGGTTTTTCTTTGTTTTGTTTGCCTTCCAGGCAATTGTTTCTATTTTATGTGGTAGAGATTTTAAAAATACGTCTTGGATTTTCATTCTGGCACATGTTTCCTCTGAAGCATTTTGTTCAAAATCAAAGTGCTGTTTTGGCAATGGAAGACACTGAAGAAATTCTTTGAGGTACAAACTGACTTTGGCTCCATTTATGATTATCTCTAACATTGTACTTTTAGTAAAAAGTTTCATAATACTTTTTTAAAAAAAGCTTATGCACAAAAAAATCCAAAATTTAAAAATTTTAAAAAGGAAATAAAAAATAAAGCTTATGCACAAAAATGCTTCAGAAAAATTTGTAACTAATAGTATTGTAGGTAGTATACTGCTTTTCCATGAATGTCAAGGATTAATCATAAAACTAGGAAGAGGTACTTTTCAAGCAGAAGAAAACATAGGGACATTTTATTTTGTAATTTTAAAATGCCATGATGGACCAGGCATGGTGGCTCACACCTGTAATTCCAGCACTTTGGGAGGCCAAGGCAGGTGGATCACGAGGTCAGGAGTTTGAGACTAGCTTGACCAACATGGTGAAACCCCGTCTCTACTAAAAATACAAAAATTAGCTGGGCATGGTAGCACGTGCCTGTAATCCCAGCTCCAGCTACTCAGGAGGCTAAGGCAGGGGAATCGCTTGAATCTGGGAGGCGGAGATTGCCTTGAGCAGAGACCATGCCACTGCACTCCAACCTGGGCGACACAGCAAGACTCTGTCTCAAAAAAAAAAGAAAAAGTCATGATGTGTGAAATGCAAAAACCAGGTCTGCCAGAAACTAATTATATGACCTAATATAAAACAATGCTACTTCAAGATTGACACAATTATTTTTATTTTGTAGCTTTCTTTACAAGTAATGTTTATTTTATATATATAATGTATATTTCAAAGACAACATAAAAAATGAATTTAGTGAAATGAGAATTTAGAAGCAAATTTTCTCTCACCCTCTCTGTTACTCCCTTAAAGGCAAATTTTTACAAAGCCTTCAATAAAGATGAGTAATACTAGTTTCTGAAAATATATAATCAAAAAAATTTTTTAAGGCTCCTCAAGTGAAGCAGTGGGAGTGGAGAAAGATATAATCACACAATTTTATATGACAAAAATTTTGTATTGGTAAAACAATTTTATTCTTGTTAACAAGGAATTGTTTATTCTAGATTTAAAACCTAACTCGGTAAGCTGAGGTGGGAGGATCACTTTAACCCAGGAGGTGGAGGTTGCAGTGAGCTATGATCATGCCACCACGTTCCAGTCTGGGTGACAAAGCAAGACTGCATCTGAAAGAAACAAAGGAACAAACTTTTACACTTGAATTTTGATTGTGGTTACATAAGTTATACATAGCACAATAAAAATTTTAACATGCTGATTGTAAAGGACTTTTAGAAAGCTCTTAATTGTTAAGCTCACTAGATCACTTTATAAAGAAACAGCTCTTCCTTGTGAGACACACAGGAGAGAAATTTCAAAGAAAAACTTTTTACAAAATAAAAACGTTTAAGGAAATAAACGTGTTTATTTATTTGTTTGTTTATTTATTTATTTAGAGATAGGGTCTTGCTTTCTCACCCAAGCTGGGGTACAATGGCATGATCACTGCTCATTGCCGCCTCCACCTCCTGGGCTTAATCCATCCTCCCACCTTAGCCTCCTGAGTAACTGAGAATACAGGCATGTACCACCATGTTTGGCTAATTTTTCTATTTTTATAGAGATGGGGGTATCACTGTGTTGCCTAGACTGTTCTTGAACTCCTGGGCTGAAGCAGCCCTCCCATCTCAGCCACCAAAAGTGCTGGTATTATAGGTGTGAGCCACTGTGCCAGGCTAGAAATGTAATTCTTAAGTTTCAACTAGCTGGCTTTTCTAAATTTGCCCTTCCCTTGCCTCCTTTCTCTCCCAAATATGGGATTCTATATCTGATAGCAGCAATCTATAAGCAGAATAAAATGTACTTTGATAACTATTGTACTGACTGTTCATGCTAAAAACCTTTAGTAATTGTGAAAGCTCTATTACCTATAAATATGAAAACCAGATTATTTCATTGCTCCAGAGCCCCTATGAGACGGTTTCATTTTTCCTTTCATCATTTTTAGTTTTGTTGCATTTTCCATGGATGTCTAGTAAGCTCATTCTCTGGTACAGCAACAGGATCTGATAATATTTTTGTTTAAGGGTTTTTTATTTCCTGTTTTCTAAAAATCAAGTGAATTTTAAATATTTTCTTTTTTATGATGACATTTTCTTAGCAGATATAAAATGGATTCTCTTTTTTTAAAAAAAATTCCCACAATAGAATTAAATTATTAGCCCCTCAATATTTACATGAAAAGTGACGAAATCCTTACTGGATGAGGATTTAAAAAAAAATTCCTGGCCAGGAGGTGGCTCACGCCTGTAATCCCAGCACTTTGGGAGGCCAAGTTGGGTGGATCACCTGAGGGCAGGAGTTTAAGACCAGTCTGACCTACATAGCAAAACCCCGTCTCTACAAAAAAAAATATAAAATTAAAAGACAAAAATAAAAATAATTAAAAAAATAATAAAAAATTAGGTGAGCATTGGTGGTAAGCGCTTATATTCCCAGCTACTTGGGAGGCTGAGGCAGGAGAATTGCTTGAACCCAGGAGGCAGAGCTGAGATTGCACCATTGCACTCCAGCCTGGGCAACAAGAGTGAAACTCCGTCTCAAAAAAAAAAAAAAAAAATTCCTGAGCTGGGGTTTATCCTTTGTCCTAAATTAGGAGGCCTCTTAACTGAAATCTATTGTAGTATCTATCAGTGAAATCTATCACTATATTAGTCTGTTCTCATGCCGCTATAAAGAACTGCCCAAGACTGAGTAATTTATAAAGAGGTTTAATTGACTCACAGTTCTGCATGTCTGGGGAGGCCTCAGGATACAGTCATGGCAGAAGGTACCTCTTCACCGAGTTGCAGGATGGAGTGAGAGTGAGTGGTGAGCTAAGAGGGAAGCCCCTTATAACACCATCAGATCCCATGAGAACTTACTCGTGATCATGAGAAGAGCATGGGGGAACTGCCCCCATGATTCAAGTATCTCCACATAGTCTTGCCCTTGACATGTGGGGATTATTACAATTCAAGATGAGATTTGGGTGGGGACACAAAGGCAAAGTGTATCAATCACAGTCTGTAACTATGTGTTATTTACTTTTAAAATTTTCTATCTTGGCTGGGCGTAGTGGCTCATACCTGTAATCCAAGCACTTTGGAGGCCAAGGCAGGCAGATCATCTGAGGTTGGGAGTTCAAGACCAGCCTGACCAACATGGTGAAACTCTGTCTTTAAAACAAAACAAAACAAAAAAATAAAATTTTCTATCTTTATCCCTATGATGTAAGCTTCATGAGGAAAAAGACCTTGTACATCTTTTTACTTCTGGATCCCTGGGACACAATAGGCATTCAATTAATATATGTCGAATGAATTACATGATTATTCAATCCTTAGGCTTCAATATGCACATTTTTCTGGAGAAAAAATTTGTTTGACAAACAAATAGCAGTTCGTCTGGAACATCCAAGGTACCTGCAAGGGAGTAAGACGTAAAGTTGAAAAGCTTGTTGAAATATCCAGTCAACAATGGGTTTGGTGAAGTGTTTTCTTCCTTTGCCAGTAGAAGGGCTGCACTATTACTTAGCTCAGGGGTGAATTACACCAAAATTGAAGGTAATCAAAAGTATTTTTTGATATATACTTAATTATTAAGTGTTTTGATTTTTGTTTTTTAAAATCTATGATAACGGAACAATTACATGTTTACTTATTAAGAGGAGAAATAAGGCAACTTTTATATATGTGTATTTTTATAAGACAGGGTTTCACCATGTTGGCCAGGCTGGTCTTGAACTCCTGACGTCAGGTGATCCACCCGCCTCGGCCTCCCAAAGTGCTGAGATTACAGGCGTGAACCACCACACCCGGCCGGCGACTTTTATATTAATCCTAGATTTTATATGAAAAATCCCAAAACTGTGAATTTGGGTGACATGGTATCATAACTGCTACAATTGCCATTCTTTAGAATAGGATGCCCCAGGAAGTTAGGAGAACTTTGGATGTGAATCTATACTCCCCTCACCTTCCAAGCCCTCACAAAAAGGTCCTATAACAAATTAATGACATACCTGGAAACCCAGGCACAGACCATGAGGATTGACATCATGAGGCTAAGAGTCTGCAGACCTAGCTACTTTTATACAGACCAGGATTTACAATGCGTTCTACAGGTAAGGCAAGCTTTCCAGATTTGCAGGTATGCTCTGGGAATAAAGTTGGTGTTTGTAGGAAAATAGCCTGTTGTGTGGTAAGAGTGATACCATCTTGAAGCAAAACCTCCATAATGACTAATGTTTGTGCATACCAGAGTGTTCTGCAGCAAGTTCTCTAAACAATGCCTGTAACAACTCTCATTAAGATGCTTATCTGACCTCCCCAGTGGTCACAAGTTGCTGCAAGAAAGTAACCAGGTGCACGTCTTTATCCTGAAGGCTTTTTTTTTTTTTTTTTTTAAGTTGGGGTTTCGGACTTTCACTCTTGTTGCCGAAGTTGGAGTGCAATGGCAGATCTCAGCTCACCGCAACCTCCGCCTCCTTGGTTCGAGCGATTCTCCTGCCTCAGCCTCTCCAGTAACTGGGATAACAGGCATGCACCTGTTGTATTTGACCGGAGCGTAGAAAGTTACCACAAGACAAAAGTATGCCAGATTGCAGGGTCATTTAT